GTCAGTTAAAGTCAGTGGCCCTGGGGATTGCTTATTTCTGTATTCCCAGTGCCTGGCCCAGTTCCTAGCACATGCCACGGCTGCATGGGCAAAGTGAGGGAGCAGGGCAGGAGAGCCCAGGTTGTTCACCGAGCCACTGTCTTGTAAGGGGTTGTTCATTGAGCCACTGTCTTGCACATGCCCATCTAGGAACGTGGTGTGGCCTCCCCTGCACTAGGGCCATCTGTTAATTGTCACTTGATTTATAAATGACCAGCTGAGATTTTCTCTCAGTTGCTCCGGGTATTTAAGATAGTTTTCTTAGCAGGAAAGCCGTGTTCTGTCTCCATGCCTCATTTTCTCTTAAGCTGGATTAATCTGGGCCTCCCGGAGCTGGCCTTAGGTCGCCTTGTCACCGTGTCTCAGGCACTTCTGCTGCTGGTAGGCTTAACTCGTGGCTTCGGTGTCAGCATTTGGTGCCATCTGGACGAGCACTTAATGACTCCCCAAAGAGACAGGGTCAGACAACACAACCATCTTCCTGAGAACTAAAATTAGTAGCTCTATTTCATCACAAAGCCCTCTCCCCTCCCGTCACCTGTCTCCTGACACGACTCACAGGAACCAGAGGAGGAACGGGGCGGGCGACAGGGGCACTGGCCAGTACCCGCGGCCAGGCTCTGTGCCATTCCCAAATTCTGCTTTGGTTTTATTCATATGAATCTACTTTGCTGATTATGAACAGTAGACACAAGGCTAGAAATTCACCAGAAATTTACTGATTCAGTGTCAGCTTACCATTAAGAACTCAGTTTTCTAGCAATCAGAATATAGTATCTCAGGAAAACTACCACATATGTTATTTCAAATATTTATATAATTTTTTCCCAGGAGGCTGAAACGTGTTTTGTCAGAGGAGGGTAAGGTCAAGTGGAGGGGGACAGTCGTAATATTCAGTGTTCACATGTGAAAATGGAACTGGGTCCCTGGAGGGGATAAGTGGGCTGGGAGAAGTGGGAGAACGGTGGAAAGGTGACACAGATCAAGATGCATTGTACTCATCAATTGACATGCTGAATTGAAACCCCTTTGTACAACTGCTGAAAGATAAAAAAGAAACAAAAAGTAAAAATAAATTAAAAGCAATCAAACTTCATTCTGTAACAGGTCACTCAGAAGTAGCACTTCTAATCTGTCACAGTGTGTCTCAATACTTGACAATGGTGTTTGCAAAATGTTCCTCATTTATGGGGCAGCCAAAGAGCTCCCAGGAAAGTCTGATTTGCTGACACCTCCTAACCTTGGGGCTTTAAACAGCATTAGATTGTACAGAGTCCCATATTAAGCATGTATACTGTCTAAAGCTATGAATGACTTCTTGTCCAGGGAGCTGGGGTTAAACTTTATTAAAAAGGAATAGCAGCTGCTGGAAATGAAAAGGGATGCTGAGTTTACAATAGGAATCTCACCAATTTAACTGACCTACTAAGATATATATTAGCGCTTTCCAGAAAAACACATTCTAAAGACAACCATCAGTAGAAATAGTGATATTACTCAGCATTGAAAAAAAAATTTTAAATTGAAAATGCATTGTCAAGACCAAGAAGAAAAATATGCTTGATGAAGGAAGAGACAGAAAATGGCAACAATGAAATAGATACTATTTATTTTTAAATAGAAAGTTCAGCCAGGCACAGGTGGCTCATGTCTGTAATCGTAGTTACTCAGGAGTCTGAGAGTTGAGGATTGCAGTTCAAAGCCAGCCCAAGCAAGAAAGTCCTTGAGACTCTTATCTCTAATTAATCACAGGAAAGCCAGAAGTGGAGCTATGGCTCAAACTGGTAAACAAGCACAGGGACAGTGTCCAGGCCCAGAGTTCAAACCTCACAACCCGCAAAAAAGGAAAAAGAAAAAAAGAAAGTTCACTAACTTAAAAACGTGACCTAAAATGAAATAAACAATTGTTTGAACTGTAGAATGAAAATCACCCAGCATGAATAAACTAGACAATTCACTAAAAATGACCTATTTCCCAAAACAACATATTAAACAGAAAACTGGAACAGTTTGCTTGGACAACTAGAGCATTATATAAAAACAAACAAACCTAAATGCAATTCGTATTCCAGAAGAGAGAGATAATGGGTGGAAAACATACATGATAAAATAAAGACCAAAAATTCCCCCAAATTATGTGAGAGGTAAATTCATACAACTGATTAAGATGAATTTAAAAATAAGCACACCTAAGCACATCATTATCCATGACTTAAAGCTAATCTTAAAAATAAAAATATGGCAATATGTAGCATAGTGTCCTCAGAGCCTGGCCTGGAGTCCTCACTTAGCCTCTCAGCCTATAGCACCCGCATGCTCAGCCTGCTGCTCCCTTACACTCGGCCTGGTGTCCCCCACACTCTGCCTGGTGTCCCCGCATAAGTGGTTTTGAAAAGAAAGCCAAGAAGTCTTCCCCAGCATTCTGAGCACAGGACTCTGCAAATCGCTGGAGAACATGTTCCCTTGGTGTCCAACAGCAATAGCTGTCAGCTCGGGCTGCATTTTTAGGGAACTTGGGGAACTTTTGATGGGTCCTACATGCGATCTCTGGAATTAGAAATTCTGGGTCTAGAGCCCCAGTATCTGCATTTCCTAAAGCTGTCAGTGGTTTTAATGAGTAGCTCAGAAAACCACTCTGGATGAACTCTTAAGTTGATCAGCTCCTATAAATCCATGCCTCACTTAACCCAAATATAAGGCTGGTCCAGTCATTTTGGTTCCAGAAGATTTATCAATCACCTCAATTAATAATATATTATCCTGTATTAGTAATATATGAACCTGCATCAGTGAAATATTTAGTATATGATACATTGATATAAACTCTATTTTCTAGGCAACAGTTGATTATCTTCATTAATAAAGGAAATAATGGCAAGCATATACAATAATAATATACAAATAATATTAGTATTTTACTCTGTAGAACAGAATCCTTTCTAGTTTTTTTGTCTTTCCATCTCTTTAGATGAGTGTATTTCAGGTGAATGATAGGTATGGATTGTGTACGGATCTTTAAACAAGAGTTGAGAATGAGTAGAGAATCAAACTAAAAGTGAACTGGAACAGCAAATAACTCGGCTGAGGAAAAGCAGGTTCAAATGAGCTGCCTTAACTCTGACTCACACCACATTACATTTTATAATTCCACAATCATAAAAAAATGGAATAGGATGCAGAGAAAATGTCCCCTAAAATAGTTACATTCCATCTTCAAAATAAGTATTAGAAGCAGCAAATTCTATTCCCAAATTGGCTTTCCCGTGTGTGCCACCTGGGCAGTTCCTGCCACAGAACAGAAGCAGTGCCTGCTTCTAGGACATCTGATTTCCACCACCCTACCAGTCTTCAAAGTCTGAGGAGTAAATTTATGTCCTTGGGTAAAGTTTAAGAGGCCTCTGGCTACAAATGATTTTTAAAAATAAAAAAATAAAAATTTCTCCTCTTTTCTATTAAGCTTAGAATCACGGACCAAAATTTTAAGTTAATGAGAATCTTTCATGGTCTATAAAACCCCATTTGTTAGGAAATAGACCTGTAAAAAATTATATTAAGTGAAGTAAGCCAGGCCCAAAGAAACATAGGTCCCATGGTTTCCCTTATTTGCAATAACTAGTATATGTATGAGACAAGCAGAAAAGGTCAGGTAAGTTGATGTTAGGCAAAATGAACCCCAAGTTAAGGACTCATATAGTTTTTTTTCTTGCTATTATTTCTAACATGTTTATAAGATGATTTCTTTGTTGCTTTGTTTGTCCCTCCCCCACAGTAACCCATTTTCACTGTATTTGATGTCGGTGTAATTTGGGGAGGGGAAGGGAAAAACAAATTGTTTGAATAGGGATACAGGTGGACCCATTGCAACGAGACGTTATGTCGAAAAACGAACTTTACAACTTTGGCGGGGGGGGGGTAGGGGGTGGGGATGGGAGGACAGGAATGGTAAGGGGAAACAAAGGAGGAGGCAACAATTCTTGATAAGAAATGTAGTCATTACCTTGCTCATGTAATTGTAACCCCTCTGTACAGTATTTTCACAATAAAAAAATTAATAATAAAAAGTCAAAAAAATATAAGAGTAAATTGTATCTAAATACAAACCACTGGATATTTATGATAAATGCTTAATAAATGATGAGCCACTTAATTGGGAACAATCCCATTACATGCACATTATGAACTTGTCTCACAAATCTATTATGGAAACATTGCCATTTTATCATTTACAAATCAAAGGAAAACAGCAAAGGACTTGGACTGTTGCGGGGGGCGGGTAGAGGACTCACAAATGGGTCTTAGTAGGGAGCTTTTTACCCATTGGATAGTGGCTTTTGTTTAGTCTACAGTTTTGCAAAAAATAACACTACTTTCATTTATTTGTGATCTACTTCTGACTGAAAAGAATGTATAATCAAACACTGAAGGGACACAATGATGAATACAATGAAGGATGAGAACTGCTCAGGAGGTCCTGATGGCAGAATACTGTGGCAAACAGCAGAATGACAGTGCAGGGCTTCACAGCTGTGGCCGGCTCTGTCTCAGATGGAAAGCAGGCTGTGTGCACACTGGTCATTTTCAATTCTTGAATTCTATGGGATGAGTGTGTATGTGTGTACATGTGCATGCATGCCTATGCATCTTCTGGAACTAGGGCTTGAACTCTGGGCCTCATGCTTTTGCTTAGTTTTTTCAGTTGGTTGGTCCTCTACCACTTAGGCCACCCCTTAGCTTCTGACTTTTTTTAGGCTAATTAGAGATAAGGATGACTTGGATTTGTCTGCCTGGGCTGACTTAGACTTGGGATCCTCCTAGCTCAGCCTCTTGAACAGCAAGGATTATAGGGTGAGGCACTGGCGCTCAGCCTGAAATTCTGTACAGTTTAAGTCATTCAGCCATCCTATAGCATGAATAAATAGAATAACATTTCTATTTTGGATTTTTATTCCAGAAATACTTACAGTTAAGGCTGGGAGTCCTGGGGGTCCCATGTCACCCTAAACGAAAAAGAAAAAAGTTAGAATTTCTAGGAGCCCCTCTTTGTACATTATTTATAAGTTTTAGAATCTATAGGAACAATATTAATAGATAAAGTTTGAAGGACATCAAAACAGAATTTGTCTTAATTAAGTCTGGGCACCATGAAAACTTTATTCTGCTCCCTTCAGAGCTAATATTAGAAAAATGCACTTTTTTCAGCCAGAGAACTTGTTTTGAGAATCTAAAATTGTCCAATTTTCTATTCTTTTGACTAGCAATCCAAAATTAGAAGAAATAATTTCTTCTCAAATATGGCTGCTTGCCAAAGTGACAGCTGGGAAGTGTGGTGGTGACATAATTTTTTTCTGACATTCAAGTGCGAACCGGCAGGCATAGGAAGTGGGTCTCCCTGGTGCTACATCCAGCTGGCAGGCCCAGCCCTGCTGCCCAGGCCTGCAGAGCTAGCCCTGCACTGCTGCTTGGTGCTGTTGGCTGAGTAGCCCGACATCTTTGCTATGTTGGGAATTTAATTCCTTATGCTGTCAGACAAGGGTGAGAAAAGGGGAAATCTTAACAAACATGCTAATGTCAACTTACATCTACATCTTTCAGGCTAATTAAATGAAAACATTGTTCTAATGTGTTCAATAGAACAGGCTTTGATTCATTAAAAAAAAAAGTGCCAGTTCTAGGGCTGGAACGCAGGGCCCAATCACTGTCCCTGAGCTTTTTACTCAGTGTTGGTGCTCTTTTACTTGAGCCACACCTCCACTTCCGGCTTTTTGCTGGTTAAGGGGAGGTAACAATCTCATGGACTTTCCTGCCTGGGCTGGCTCTGAACCCGATCCTCAGATCTCAGCCTCCTGAGTAGCCAGAATTCCCAGAGTGAGCCACAAGTGCCCAGTTCATCTTACAATGTCTTTTGACAACTAGATCCACAAGAAAGTCCCTGTGTAGGTCTTCTGGAGAGGCTGGCAAGAGTGGGAAGACACAACAGACACAGTACCTTTTCTCCTTTAGGTCCAGGTGGGCCGACAGGACCCACATCACCTTTGGAACCCTGCACAAAGAACACAGACATTATCAACTCCACGTGCCATGTCACACACACACTCCACTTTCAAACAAGCCACCAGTGACAAACCTATCATAACTGAGAGAACCCTCAAAGCCCTCTCTTCTCCCTTTGTTGTTTGAAGAGAAATAAAGATGACTGGCTCTCAAAACATCTGTGCATGGCACAGATAAAGTAAATCAGCAACCATTCTCAATAGCATGTATTTGTACAACTTTGCTTCCTGCTGAAATGACATTAATTTTCCTTCTGTGAGAGCAGCATTTAGATTTATGTGAGCTTTACGTATCCACTTTGGACTAAATTTGTGGATGTTGTAAATACCGCTGATTGGTAATTGATTTGGCACAGACAGACACATCCTGTCCATCCCAATCATGCAGCCAATAGGAAAGAATAACATGCAACAATAAAGTAATGAAGAATGGCTGAAGCCATGTGACGAACATGGTCTAGGCCTCTGACTGCTCCGAGAAGATGAATTCAGCTATTTTTGCAGTGAGTGAATGAGAATACAGATTCCTGTGAACAGAGTCCCTGTGAATACTGAATCCTGTGAGTACTGAATACTGAGGCCTGTGAGTACTGAGTCCGTGTGACTACTGAGTCCTGAGAGTACTAAGTCCTTGTGAATACTGAGAACCTCTGAATACTTAGGCTCTATGAGCAGTCCTGTGAGAACTGAGTAGCTCTGAATATGGAGTCCTGTGAGTCCTGAGTCTGTATCTACAGAGTCCTGTGTATACTGAGTTCTGTCATTAAGGTGAGAGCTGAGGACAGGGGAGGTGCTCCCAGCTCCACTGGAGCTAATGAAGACTTTAGAAATGTAGAAGTCAGAAGCATCCAGGAGAACAACATAACCTGGGTGGTTTAAGCACTCCCGTAACACAGTTGTAAGTAATAGGCTGACAGTGATCCTGAGACTCGTGTGGTTGAAGACATCCTGCCAGGCATCAGGCACCTGAGCACATGCTGCTTTGTTTCTCAAGCACAGGCACAGGGTGGTCAGTCATCCATCCTCTCTGCTGTTTCATCCTCAGTTGGTGAATCAATAGCAGTCATGTTTTGCCGGCTGCACACAATGCAGGCTCCAAGGCACCAGCGTGCCATGTTTCCTCCTCCTGTTACACTAGTGATATTCTCAATGGCTAGTGGGTGCTAGGGAGAAAGGCTCAGTACTCACCCAAAGCACCAAACGCCCAATGGAAGAGACCCTGAACTGTGAGTGAGACACATTCTAAGATTAAAATCTCAAAAGTTGATCTTGCTAGCTATGTCCTTTGCCATGAAGAAGTTCTGCAGTTTCATGCAATCCAATTTGTCCAACCTTTCTTTGATTTGTCCTGTTTCTGGGTCTTTATTAAGAAAATTTCAAGGAGACCTAGAGTTTCTCCTATTCCTTCCTGTAATATTTTCTGGGTGTCTGCTTTGACTTCAAAGTTCTTTGAGCCATTTGGAGTTAACTATCGTGCAGGGTGATATATAAAGATCTATTTTTAGTTTTCTACAGGTGTTTAACCAATTTTTCCAGCACCATTTACTGAAGAGACTTTCTTCCATTCTATTTTTTGGGAGAAGAGCTTCACCAGCTATACAACAGACAAGGGCCTCATATCTAAAATATACTTAGAACTCAAAACACAGAGTCACCCAAAAATCCTTAAAGAAACAACAGCCCCATGAATAATAGTGGGCTAAAGATTTAAAGAGAAACTTCTCTGAAGTAAACACTGGAAGAAATGCTCAACTCCTCTGGCCATAAAAGAAATGTAAATCAAAACAACATTGTGATTCCACCTCACCCCGGTTAGAACCTATACTCAAGAAATCTAATAACAACAGATGCTGGAGGGGATGTGGACAGAAGGGAACCCTACTGCATTGTTGGTGAGAATGTAAATTTGTTCAACCGCTTTGCAAAGCAGTATGCTGGTTCCTCAAAAGACTCCACATAGAGCTCCTCTATGACCCAGCAATCCCACTTTTGGGCATTTACCCAAATGATCACAAACAAGACCATACTAAAGCTACCAGCACAACTATGTTTATCTCAGCATTATTTATCATAGCTGAGATATGGAACCAATCCAGATCGCCCTCAGTAGATAAATGGATCAAGGAAATGTGGTATATATACACAATAGAATTCTATGCCTCCATCAGAAAGAATGACACCGCCCTATTTGTTAGGAAATGGAAAGACTTGGAAAAAATCATATCAAGTGAAGTTACCCAGTCCCAAAGAAACATAGGTCCTATTGTTTTTCCTTATTTGCAATAATTAGCATACATATAGGATAATCTTATCAGATGAGCTGAAAAGATCAAAAACCATCTACAAATGACCATATAAGATGATGCTAAGTGAAATGAACCCCAAGATATGGACACAGAGGTCTGTCTTTATTGTTATTGTTTTAAATGTCCCATGTGATTTTATTTGTTGTTGTTGTTGTTTCCTTTGTATGATCTTTCCCCTGTGGCATATCCCCTGCTGACACTGTACTCGATTTTGGTACTCTGCATCTTGTATATACATTTATCTAATCTGGGGAGGGGAAAGGGAACAACAAAACGCTGAAACAAGGACACAGGATGACCCATTGCAACAAGGATTCCCACAGGACAGTATATTGGAAATGAACTTTACACCTTCCGGTGGGAAAGGGGATGGAGGGAGGGAAAGAGGATGGAAGGTGGGGGAGGGAAGGGATAGTGGGACAACAACAAGGAAAGGAAGGGGTAACAATGATGGACAAGTAATGCACTCATTGCCTTACTCATATAACTGTAACCCCTCTGAACAGCGTCTTCACAATAAAATAAAATTATAAAAAGATCTTAGAAGTTGACTCTGCATGTAATTTGGAGGCAGAAAGTCTTATCTAAGGGCAAAGGGGAATGGAGGAAGAACACTGCAATGGAAATTGTAAGAAAAGCAAGTAGAGCTCAATATTGTTATTGTAAGACTTAGCATTCAAGGATGCAGTGTCTTTAAAAATCAGATTATTTGGGTTTAGTTGTAACTCAGTGGTTGAGTTCCTGCCTGATCCATACCAAGGCTCGGGATTCAAATCCCAGGACCAAACATAAATCAGATATATGATTATATGATTATTAAAGGGAGATTACTTGGGAGGAAATAAGGGAAGAGGAAAAGAGAGGGCAATAGGAATGAGTATGATAAAAGTAGAAAATAGATATCCATTAAAATCTGTTCAGAAGGGAAGGAGGAAAAAGAGGGGCTAAGAGAGAACAATATGAATAGGATGAATTTGATAAAAGTCATTACACATGTGTATGTAAACATTACAATGATACCTCTTTATACCATCAGGGTTTTGTGGGGGGGGGGTTGTCCATATTGGAGTTTGAACTCAGGGCCTGGGTATGGTCTTCAAGCTTTTTCACTCAGGATTGATCCTCTACCACTTGAGCCACATCTCTACATATGGATTTTGCTGGCCAATTGGAGATAATAGTTACTCAGATTTGTCTGCTTGGGCTGATTGAACTTTGATCCTTAGATCTCAAGCATCCTGAGTAGCTAGGATTATAGGTGTGAATCACCAATACCTGGCTTTATATAATCAATTCATGCTAGTAAAGTTTTTATAAATCAGATGATTTAAAAGTAATGGTATTTGTTAAAGATGGTTAACCCATCAATTAATTTCTATCCAGCTTCTGTGATTGCACCTTATTTCTGAGCAGTGGTGACAGCTGTCACATACCTCTGCTTCTGTGATGTCAGTATTTTTATCCCTAGCCCACAGATTGCATTGGGATAAGGAGATTAAGATGGTTATTTTAGACTCATCACATGCCATAATTTTGATAAGGGATATTTGAAAGACCATAATACAAATGCAGAGAAAACTAAGCACGGTGATTAAAATCTACTTTTCTAAAATTATGTAACCCTACAAAAACAAACAAACAAACAAACAAAAAGGGATACCTATTCCACTAAATGTTCTTGTTTAACCCAGTTTGTAATGGCAAATGTTTATATGACTTCCTAAGTAGTATGTGCCAGACCTTGGTCCATGTTTCCTGTCTCTGCTCTCTACCCCACCCACATTTTGCATCTCCGCCGTCTGCCCCCAGCCCCAAGAGGCAATCCTGTGTATGCAGTGGTTTTCTGGCATAGCCTCAGAGCTGAGGGCAGCTGGGGAGGGGAGAAGTTCACCTCACCTGGAGGCAGCCATGGGCTGTTGAGCATCAAGGGCCACAGCGCCAACCTTACAACCTGCCCAAGCCTATTCTCAGTTACCACCACCAGAACAACAACTACACATTTCTATGTGTAAAAGAAAGACCAGGCCCTACATTGTGAAGATTAAATGATAGCAATTCAAGTTTTTAACTATTTCAGTGCATGATTGGTACATCCTATTTAAACTACAAGGGGATTATGTGCATTAATACTATGTAGATCAACCAAAAAGCACACACACACACACACACACACACACACACACACACACACACAGAGTCAAGGATATGTGTATAAAGATATCAGCCTTTTTGTGTTGTCCTCGTAAATTGGGCTTTGCTTACATTTAACATTTGCTTAGTGATTAGCTTACCTTTAATTAATTGTCTACCCTCGTAAGCCCCGCAGAAGAGATGAGCCCTGTCAGTATCAGTAGCCCCTGGCCTGGAAACTGCAAACTGCATACTTCCCTCTGCCCTAGGGTTTTCCCTCTCCAGAGAATGCAGGCCATCTTGAGGGGCACAGCCAAAAGAAGCAGTTACAAGATACATGGATCTCCAGCTGTGGGCCAGAGGCATCAGTAAAGATTAGTAAAGACTACCACACAGAGAAGCTGCCAGGGACATCCAGTCCACCTTCCTGCATGGAGTTTGTGCACTTATATCCTGACTGTTCCTGACCATTCCTCTGCTGTGACTCCACTCCAATCTGGACTGAGGCAGCATCAGAATGAAGGACTTTCATTGCCTAAGTGTGTGGGCCAGAGTGCTCTGGCCACCAGAGAACTAGCATAAATGCTGAACTACTTTAGTTTGCAGGGTCAGTTTTTTAGCATTGAAAATTAAGCAATGAGCCAGGTGCTGAGTTCACACCTATACCATAACTCTTCAAGAAGTTGAAATCTGAGAGTTGTGTTTCAAAGCCAGCCCAAACAAGAAAGTTCATAAGACTCCAATCTCTATAAACCATTAAAAAGCTGAAGGGGGTGTGTGACTCAGTAGGTAGAGCAACAGCCTTGAGCAAAAAATGCTGAGACAGCACCCAAGCCCTGAGGTCAAGACTCACAGTATTGGAAAAAAAGGAAATAAAGCAAGCAAGCAAGCCAGGAAAGAAAGAAGGGAAAGAGGAAAGGAGAGAAGGAAGGAGGGAGGGAGGGAGAAAAAAAGAGAGAAAGAGAGGGAGAGAGAAAGAAAGAATGGAGGGAGGGAAAGAGAAAGAGGGAGGGAAAGAGAAAGGGAGGGAAAGAGAGAGAAAGAAAAAAGAAAGAAAGAGAGAGAGGGAGGGAGGGAGGGAGGGAGGGAGAAAGGAAGGAAGGAAGGAAAGAAAGAAAGAAAGAAAGAAAGAAAGAAAGAAAGAAAGAAAGAAAGAAAGAAAGAAAGAAAGAAAGAAAGCAGGCAGGCAGGAAGGCAGGAAGGAAGAGGGAAGGAGGGAGGGAGAGGGAGATGGATGGAAGGAAAGAAGGGAGGGAGGGAGGGGAGAGAAAAGAAAAGAAGCACAATGGCGAATGGCATGATTTAGTAGAAAATGATACTTTTCAAATGTTCAAGGTAGAAGGCTGACTTTACTATTTGCCTCTCCTAAAACCTGGGGTGTGAGGCCCCTGCTCTCCTTAATGGGGAGCGCTGATGAGCTGGGAGAGGGCTGAGTGCAAGTTCCCCAGGGCAGTAGTTTATGAAGCACAATTCTCTCCCAGAAGCACAGTGACACTGTAGCCAACTGTCTACTTCCAGGATGGCAGAGGAGAAAGAAAAGAGCTTTCATTGCTTTTTCTTTTGGTCATGACTCCTGAATATCTTGGCAAATTAAGAAAAGAAAATTAAGACCACCTACAGAATTAGGGAAACAAGTGAGAAATGCTAATGGCCATGCCACGCTTTTTGATGTCCTTAACAAGCTCCATTAAACAATTCTAGTGCTGAGCGAGTAGCCTGGCTATGCCAAGCTCCTGTGGAACCACAGAGGGCAGAGATCATGCCTGGGACCGTGGCCTGGGCTCATTCAGGGTGGAACTCCCTCCATGGCTGCCAGAGACTTGTGCATGCAGTAGGTGTTCAGCCAGGTATGTTTACTGATTAACTCTGAAAACGGAGCTAGCCTACTTTCAAACTCCAGTGACATTAAAATGTGTGGGCAACTGGCATCTCGGTCAACTCCAACATTGTCATCAACAAACTATAAACATCTTTGTGTTGCTCCACATGTGGGGCTTGCTTGGCTGCGGCAGCACTTTGCTATATCATCTTTGAGGTGCTTAATACTGATCAAGGTTGTGCACTGGTGGCGCATGCCTGTAATCCCAGATATTCTAGAGGCGGAGATATGAGGATTGCAGTTGAAAACCAGCCCGGACAGGAAATAACCACCAAAAAGCTGAAAGTGGAGTTGTGGCTCAAGTAGTAGAGCTCCAGCCACAGTCTATTTGCCTTTAGAGATTGAGAAACTGAATACAGCCCTGTAGTTTTTGTGCTGGTACTCAGGGCCTTGAACTCTTGCTTGCCTTTTTCCCTCAAGGCTGGTACTTTACCACTTGAGCCACAGCTCCACTTCTGGCCTTTTTCTGGTTAACAGAAGATATGAGTCTCATGCACTTTCCTGCATGGGCTGGCTTTGAACCACAGTCCTCAGATCTCAGACACCTGTGCCGCTGGGTTACAGATGTGAGCCTGGTGATTCCTGGTCTTGTGAGCAGGGAACTTCTCCACAAGCCAGAAACAGTGAGGAACTGCTGGGGGGAGCGGGGTGGGAGGTGACACAGCACAGATGCAGTACTAGAGCCAAGGAACTGCCAGCCATGAGACCAAGCACTCGGCTGTGTGAGGAGCCACAGAAAAGCCTTCCTGGATCTGGAAATATGTTTGATTGTAGCTGGTTCTGCCAAGCAAAGCCCAGTCCTCATAACAGTAGGGAGCATATTTCAGTGGCTAAATGTAAACAGAACGTTCAAGAAAAGAAGAGTGGCTTACTTCTTGTCCATTAAAGCCAGGCACACCTGGGTCTCCTTTTGCTCCAAGTTCACCCTAGAAAGAAACAATTTAATCAGTGAAAAAGGTTGCATCTGAAAACCTTCACCAAGGAAAACCAAGAGAGATATGTTGTTTGGATATTTATAACATCACGATTACTTTGTTAATCCCTTGAAAGAAACATTTATTAAAAAACACTTTTGAGCTTAAAACCAAAGAGAAATATAAAGGTTCCAAAAAAGGCTGCTTAAGAGGGATTAAAGAGTGGAATTAGAACAAAGATTATTAATGTTCTTCTAGAAGCAACAAAGAACTTTCTGGAGGGCAGTCTGGCAATCAGTATCAAGGATCTAGAATCTGTTTTAAGGGCCCCATGGTTTCATCTGCAGGAACTCATCCTGGGGAACCATGGGTGATGAAAAGCGACAGGTCCAGTGTGGAGCATGAGGCAGTAAAGAAAAAGGGACAGGGAGCCACTTAAGACATCATGGAGATAGAGAATGGATGACTCAAATCTCTCTAGGTAGGAGCTCAAAAATCAGTGTTTAAATGTTACACAAAAGGTATTTAGCGTAAGTTAATAAATGAGTTGAAATTTTTTGTACACGAAGACAAATATGATTCCATCAATACTGTCATTAACTTTCACAATGCAACTTAAAATAAAGGCAATCTTTATCCAAAAGTAATGGTTCGTGGATCATAGTTGGAGCTCATTGGTATGTGCTTAGCATAGGTTCAATTTCAGCATCCTCCAAAATGGAATTAAATTTAAAAATGGATCCAGTAGATGAAAAGAATGTGCTTCCTCTACATTAAAGGATATATACCAACAGGAAGTCTGCAAGCTTGACTGGTTTTTCTTTTTTTAGGTTGGTCATGGGGCTTGAACTCTGGGCCTGGGCACTGTCCCTGAGCTCTTCAGCTCAAGGCTAGCACTCTACCACTTGATCCACAGCGCCACTTTCAGTTTTCCGGTGGTTTATTAGAGATAAGAGTCTCATGGATTTTACTGCCTGGACTGGCTTTGAACCAAAATCATTAGATCTCAGCCTCCTGAGTAGTTAGGATTACAGGTGTGAGCCACCAGCACCCCACTTGACTGGTTTTTCTTAAATAATAGTATCATTAGTAACAACTAATAATAATGAATTGTTTATTATAATAAAAACAATAGCAATTGGTGCCTCACAAAAATACTCAAAGGGGTTTTAAAGTACATTTTAATGTATTTTAGGAACAAATACAGTTCATTAAAAAACAAGTGATTGCTTTATGGTACCATTATAACGCCTATAAAACACCTGTATAATGTTTACTTGTGCCAGGCACTGTGTAAGCATTTTGAAATTCTATGATGATGACTACGCTCATTTTACAGGTGAGGAAACTGAAGACAGAGGCTAAGGAATGTGGCTGAGGTCTTGGGGCTTGAACTCAGGGCCTTGGGCTCTCCCTTGGCCTTTCTGCTCAAAGCTGGCACTCTACTGCTTGAGCCACACCTTCAATTCAGGCTTCCTGCTGTATCACTGGAGGTAAGAGTCTTCCTGGATTTCCTTCGTGGGCTGGCTTTGAACCATAACCTTCAGATCTCAGTCTCCTAAGCAGCTGGATGACAGGTGTGAGCCCCAGAGCCTGGCTACCATTCTTTACTTGGGCTCTATACTGTCATGTATACTGCCGACCATCAATCACCAGCTTCCACTCCCAGCAGGATGGCAGCCTCCAGCCACCCTCCCTGAAGCCTTGAGTATGGGCAAGTGAAAATGTCATAAGTAATACCAAACTTGTTGGTATAGATTTACCTCCAGCTAGAGCACTGTTTACCTCATGAATATTCATGTAATGTGTTCATGATATGAATTATTATGTCAGATTGGAACAATACACATAATAACATGAATAAAATGTATAACTTTCATGTTAGTTAGTTCTGAATTGATGAGTCAACTTTTAAAATATTAAATAACTAGGAGAAACTATGGCTGACCAAAAATTCACAGTAAATAATGCCGCTGTCAGAATGAAACAAAGATGGAAACAATTATGTGAATGAAAAATTCTAGCATAAATTAGTAATACAGATATATCATAAACTAAACTAAAATATAAATAGATAACTGAGAAATATATCAATTGATGACTTAATAGTATCACTAATATTCAGACTGCTTTTTATCGTTTATAAAGAAAAGACTAATATTCCAACTGGTAGTTGACCAAAGGATCTATCTGACAATATGCCACAAATGACAGTCAGTAAAATCTTTACTGGTCCTAATTAATCAAGAAATGTCCTAATTAATTAATACTAGTAAAGAGATAGTCTGGTCCATCCGTGTGTGTGTGTGTGTGTGTGTGTGTGTGTGTTTATGGACCAGGTTGTCTCTAAGGCCTCTCTATTTCATTTCTTTCATCCAGGTGAATAAGGCTGTAATACTTTACATGCATATGTGTAAGTAGATCGATGAAAGCGGCTGAAATTGTTTCAGGAGGGCAGGGGAGGTAGGAGTGAGGCAGGAAAGTATGATGGGGTACTTTGTACGTGTGTTCCAAAATGTCACAATGAAACCACTCCACATGCAACTAATAGATGATAATAAAAAGTCTTGGGAAAAAAAGTGGAGGGTTCTATATTCTAGCCAGAAAACAAAGTATATTCATGTTGCATATTTAATAAATCCCAAACAAAAGAAATTATACAATAGTAACCAGCTGCACAGAAAGGAAACTGGAAACAAAACTGCAGCACTAAGGATTTACTCTGGAGCTGGAGAAAACTTGTTTGACAAATGATGTCAAACTGTGCACTTAGATTGTTTCTTAGTGTTTGGGCAAATTCAAGGGAAGGAACTATTTAAAAAATAAAACCAATAGACCATTTCGGGAGATTTCTCCAGAAATATAATAAAGCATTCTAGTCTGGCAGAAACTTAAATACAAAGACTACAGGACACATGGTGACTAGATTACATTTAAGATTTTCCAAGCCAGGCACTGGTGTCTCACACTTATAGTCATAGTATGCAGGAGGTCCAGCTCAGATCTCGGTTCAAAACCAACCAGAGACAAAGCAGCTGAAATGAGATTCTTCTCTCCAATTAAGCACTGGAAAGCCAGAAGTGGAGCTGTGACTCAAGTAGTAGAGCCTCAGCTTTGAGCAAAAAAAGCTAAGGGACAGTGCCTAGGCCCCAAGTTCCAGTCCAAGACCAGCACACACACAAACAAAACAAAAACCTAAATATTTCCCCATTATCCATTATTCATGAAACTAATTTTAAAACTGTACCAAAGCCAGGCGCCAGTGGCTCAGGCCTGTAATCCTAGCTACTCAGGATGCTGAGATCTAAGGATTGCAGTTCAAAGCCAGCCCGGACAGGAAACTCCGTGAAACTCTTATCTCCAATAAACCACCAGAAAACTGGAAGTGGCACTGTAGCTCAAGTGGTAGAGCACTAGCCTTGAGCTGAAGAGCTGAGGGACAGCGCCCAGGCCCAGAGTTCAAGCTATATGACTGACAAAAAAAAAAAAAAAACTGTACCAAGATTTAATGACTTTCCAAACAAAGTGGCAGGGCCTTGGCATTCAAAATGTTGCATTCAGATAGGTAGAAAAATCCTTTACAGAAAACAAATCCCTTATTTCCCACAAGACAGTGCTGATAACACTCATTTCAGGTATTGCAATAGCTACTAGCAATAACACCATAGCACTGTTCTATATGCTGCACTGCACACTACGCTCTGTCCTAACTGACTGACAGAGCCGGGGCTCCTTGCATTCTAGCAGTGACAATGCCTGGTGACACTCTGGACCCTGCTTGCTGGCACAGCTCAGGGGCTACAGTAACTCCCATGGTGGGAGAGTGCCTAGCATCTCAGGTAACACTCAACTAAAGGAAGGATGCACCCCTCCATTAGTCTCACCTGGTTCCTGTGCCTGGACCGGCTTTGGTTCCCAACAGAACTGAAATGTGGTGGGCATTTTCCATGGAATCTTGAATACTGGAAAATGTCTCTAGTGTTCTCTATTTAGCCAAGGAATTTGTTTAGCCCTGGTGCAATGGCCTAGGAAGATTGGAGGAGTTGGTGCTACCCACCCCATGGTGACCAAAGCTAGAGCCATTCCACTAGGGATGGTGACCAGGGCCTGGGCCTGTTCCAGGACGGACAGTGAGCAGTGCCTGAACCTGGTCCATAACTGATGATGGCCAGAGCTGGAGCCCGTTCATGAGGGACAGTGACCAGGGCCAGGGCCCGTTCCATGAGGGACAGTTCTGTCTCCAGCAGGACTAGGCCTTCACTCGGCACAATGATAAACAGCCAAAAGGAAATATAAATGTAAACTTGAATTCATTTTCTCTGGTTTCATCCCTTATTCCCCCGATTCCATCACACCTGTATCTTAAGATCTTTCTAATAAACTATGTGGCCTCAAGACCTTTCTAAGATTGACTGTTTATAGCTCACATCTGTAATTTCAGCTATTCTGGAGGCTGAGATCTGGGATTGTGGTTTATTCCAGCACGGACAGGAAAGTCCATGAGATGTCTATCTCCAGCAAGAAGCTGGACATCAAGGTGTGGCTCAAAAAGTAGAGTACCAGCTTTGAGTGAAAAGAACTGAAGAAGAGTTCCCCAGCCCTGAGTTTCTGAGTTCAAGCCCCAATACAAGTCAATACACAGGAAGCACAACTTAAGCAGAACTTCTTTGCCCAAATGTTGTAAATCTGAAAACATAAAAGTACATAATGTACTAACATATATTCATATTCAGGCTGGTTTATGCAAAGGAATTTATGAGCAGAGCTCTCCTTTTCCAAATAAGAAGTTATTTTCTAACCCAGGGAGCCTGTGGCTAACTTGACAAAGCTCACATACATGTGCATTTCTGTGTTCTGTTATTGATAACCAGAAAGCACTGACTGATAGCTGATTATGCCTCTGGCAGCCAGATATACACATGATCTTGAGAGGTGAGTCCCTGTGCTTGAAAGAGGGAAGTTTGACTCTGATCACATGATCCAGTCACATCTGAAGAACTTCTCAAATGTGT